ATAAATCAGTTAAATGACGAAAAATTAGGTGTCTATTTACTTGTGACCACTCAGTGTATATACAGTGTAGTGATTTGTTTTTGTGGTGAATTAATTTTGCAAATCTGTTAAGAATGAAGAATTTAAAGCAATCAGCACATGATATTTAGTATGGAATAAAAATATTTCTGTGAACATCTGTGATTGTGTGATGATTGGTCAGAAAAGAATCATGCTTCAATGTTTTGCTTCTTATCGGGTTTTGTTAACTATTAATGCATAGCATATGTTAAACAGCTGATGTAATCCTACTGGAGGTTGGTGGTAAACCTATTAATGTAAATAATCCTTGTGAAACGTTAGCTTATTCTTAACACTGCCAATTTAGTCTTGTATAAACAACAATTCATTACCAGTTGTTGTGCACAATAATAGTGTGTGCGATGTGCTGGTTGAAAATTTGTTATGCTATTTCTTTGTTTTAGTTTCCATGTATCTTCCAAAACAGAAACATCATACATTGTAATTTATTTATGGTATTATACTTCAACCTGGCTGATTGGTTTCTTTCAGATTCAGTGTTATTAACTTTTCAGTTTTCTTATTACATTTTACTCTCCTCATACTTTACGGGGAAAAGAAAAACTTTTATAATTGTAGCAAATAGAAATATTTTTCTATTAGACATTTTCCTATTTTGAGATAAAACGTCCTTCCAAGTTCCATAAAAAATACAGTACAATAAAAATTGAGAAATGATGACATAATTGTCATATCGAGTAGATATATAGGATTCACTAAAGACGTAGAGATTAAAACAAAAATTCTTTTTTACAGGAAGTGAAAACAATTCCCTGTACATATACTACAAAGGCATGTCCAAGCAGGTGTTGACCTTCAAGTTTGATACAGTGCGAAGTGTCTTGGTAAGTTAGGGGTGAAAAGAACGTGACCATCTAATTGCTAGTTTACATTATGTCATATAAAGTTATTTATTTACCTACTTTTAAGCTGTGAAACTCGGCTCTTCATTTAGAATGAACTCTTGTTAATGTTCCTGCAAGAAAAATCATAATTTCAATATTTTGATTACTTGAATAGTTGGAATAATCTAAAGTAGTAATAATTGGAAATGCTAATTGTGATGAATCGATTATCTTTGTGGCATTAGTCATTGGTAATTCGTAAATTTAATTAACTGCCCAGCTCAACTCCTGAAGAGAACTTACTTTGTGAGAGAAACAAACTGTTGTTCCACAATGTGTTATTAATTTCATGATTTGTCCAGATTGATAAAATGATTTTCTTACCAACATAACTTTAAATGTGTTTTCTGTTTTGAAGGAGAAGGACAAAAAGGACGAGGAAACAAATGAATTTGTTAGTGCCGTTTGCTGGAGAATGGTAATTTATCTTATTGTCATTTTATTAAAACTGATTAATTATACATAAGATTATTGTTTAACTGCATGTGCTTTTCTCTGATTAATAGAGTTCTAATTAAATCCTTTTCTCATACAACACAGTACAGTACAATAAATCATGACATTTTGCAGTGTTAGTTTGCTAAAGGTATCTCATGTGCACGAGTTATATTTCATGTAGAATGAAGGTTTCTGTCTCAATGGTTTATACAAATATTAAGGGTGTGTTTGTGCTTTATATATCGAGAAATATTGTCACAAGATTGGTTCTTACCAGATCATATGATAATTATTTCTGTCAAAGTTCTTACCAGATCACCTGATAATTATTTCAGTCAAAGTTCTTACCAGATCACCTGATAATTATTTCAGTCAAAGTTCTTACCAGATCATATGATAATTATTTCTCTCAAAGCTCTTACCAGATCATATGATAATTATTTCTCTCAAAGCTCTTACCAGATCATATGATAATTATTTCTGTCAAAGTTCTTACCAGATCACCTGATAATTATTTCGGTCAAAGTTCTTACCAGATCACCTGATAATTATTTCAGTCAAAGTTCTTACCAGATCACCTGATAATTATTTCAGTCAAAGTTCTTACCAGATCATATGATAATTATTTCAGTCAAAGTTCTTACCAGATCATATGATAATTATTTCAGTCAGGTATTCATACAGATTATTTCCTTCTCAATTGCAGGGAACTAATGTTGTTGTAGCGGCTAACAGTCAAGGAACTATCAAAGTGAGTTCGTATGTCTAAAAACTGGTTATTCTTCAGTTGATTATTTGTATTGAAATAAATTCATAGTGACTCATATTTGTAAAATAACATTGAAAACTTTGATTTTAAGTGAGAGAGAGAGAGAGAGAGAATGAAAGAAAAGAAAAAAACAGTGTGTACAGTTTGTTTTCTATATCACATCATAGATTTTGTTAATATTTGACCGACCCACAAAGATCGCCAATACTTCAGGAAAAGAAAAAAATTAATTGTTACACCCTCACGAGTTAACTTTTACATTGTCATTTTCATCGTGAGATCAACACAAGTTGAAAAGGTGATTTAAAATTAACTTTTAAATGAAAATGTGACACAAAATAGTATTTGGAGAATAATGTACAGTGAGCGATGTTTTTTTTTGAATGGTAAAATTAAAAAAAGCACAAAACAAGAAAGAAATTAAAAATGCAAATTATTTATTGTTTGTGTTCTGTTGCCACCCATTTTAATTAAAAATGCAAATTATTTATTCTTTGTGTTCTGTTGCCACCCATTTTAATTAAAAATGCAAATTATTTATTGTTTGTGTTCTGTTGCCACCCATTTTAATTAAAAATGCAAATTATTTATTGTTTGTGTTCTGTTGCCACCCATTTTAATTAAAAATGAAAATTATTTATTGTTTGTGTTCTGTTTCCACCCACGGATTTCTTTTGCTCAAGAATTTAGAGAAGGTTTAAAATGCAAGCTTGTTCTGTTTAATTATCTCGAGGGAGGATAATAAAGAAAAGTTACTCTAAGTAATTGTAGAGAATTCATTTTAAAGCAATTATTTCTGGAGAAAACATCTTCACATTTAAAATACGGTAACATTTTGAAAATTTAAAACATTCCTTTAGAACCTACTTATCAAGAATTCCCGAGTATTTGGTAGTTTATTGTTCGCGATATTCTGCTGTATCAGTAAAAACACATTTTTTAAAGTGTACTTGGTCTTCGTGACCATTACTTTATTGACTAAAAATTTTGCATCATATATTGAATGTGATTTTGTGTTTTGAATCATTATGAATGTCATTTCTTTCTTTTTACAGGTGCTAGAGCTTGTATGAAGTTAGAGAATTTAGGAACGAAAGTGAATCATCTCCAGGTATTAGTACTTAACACTGATACAGTACAAACTTGTAGATACTTGGCCATCTATATTAACAATAAATTCTTAATAACCAGGTATGAAAATCTGTTTCCTTTAAAGAAAAGTTACAGTTCTCAATGCAATGATGAGAATTGAATAAGTTTCCGTTAAAATACTAACGCCTAAGCCTTGTCTGTTAAAAAAAAACTAAGTTTACAAGAAGGTAATTTAATGAATATTCCTTTATTTTACATATTTATCTCAAAGTAAGTTATTTACTTACAAAACACAATGCAGATTATAACACACAAAAAAATGCGAAGTAGTTTTTCTACAAGAATTAAGCATACATTTTAACTTGTATAAATGGTCCACATAAATTCAGTGCCGTTACGTCATAAATAGTAAACCAAACAGAAATAAATAGTTTGGAAGTTTGCTTTCCAATAAATTGTCTTGGATGCATATATGAAATTAAAAAAATTATATATTTGTATAAACTTTTAAACGTGCATACCATATAAAAAAAAAGTTACCAGAGTGCTAAGAATATTTTGATTTATGATGATAAGGCTAAAGTAAAATGAATTACAAAACGGCATCAAATCTAGATGCTAAATTATGAGCAAAGAATACAAAAACTGGACGATTATGTAACAGCCATAAGGCTTCAAGTCTCATTTTTCACATGATGACCAAGGTTTACTGAAAACAGTTATCTGGGGACAACCCTGTTTTGATAATAAATTTAACAGAGTGACAAACAACTACAGTAAAAAATAATGGGTCATTCCTGGTCATATTTATAGTGTTCTGATTCAGGTAGAAAGTGACCCACAGTTTCTTCATTAAAAAGACTAGTGTAGTTAAAATGAATCACATGTAATTAGTATAAATTTCTAACACTGGACCTCAGTTCGAAAAGATTAGACTGATAATTAAGCTACTAAGTGGTTTAAAACTAAACATCTGTTTTGTGTAATATCACGATACTACTCTAGAATCTTTGTAAAGAGCTGTGATATTAAAATACACCATACTGGCTAAAAACAAATTTGTACAGTATGCGTCACTGAAGTAGTAGGTTTTATCAGCTCAATCCTAGAGCTTGTATGCATTTCATACAGATAATATTGATATAAACACGTAGTAATGGTTATGAGGTTCTCTATGCTACTTTAAATTCTGATTATTTCGGTGTAACCCGAGTCGATTCGGTTTTCATCAGTAACGTGCAGACTTCCAAATCTACAGAGGGTTGTTCATGATCTAGTTGACCAAGCTGTATATTCAATCACCTTGTCCCTGAGCCTCATATTGCAAGTACAAGTGGTGCCTTTTTAAAATTGGCTCCTTCTGGGAAGGATACTTGTAACTACAGGGGCTTCTGATGCAAAGTTCTATTGTTCTGTTATTATAAGTAAAGCTGTATTACAAAAAAAAAACAGATACCTGCAGCATTGAACCTTATCAGTAAAATAAAGATGTGATTAAAACAGGAAAAAAAAGCTACTCCATGACTGGCTACCAGCTACATGCACGCACTGGAGGCAGGGAGAAAAGTTAAAAATCTGGCCACAAAAAAACCAAAGCACAGTGGTCCATTGCAGTTAAATGAGGGACTTCACTTGGCATTGTAAATAAAATAATTCACACAGATTGACTTCTACAAGAGCAAAAACAGCCAGTGTTTCTCCAAAAACACAACTAAATGAAAGACCAACAATTAAAAGTTGTAAAAGCAAAATCTGGCATGTCACAAATAAACGTATATTGTTACACTGGAAGAAGCATCCACTGAGTGTCGCAAACAATTTTCAAAGAGTGGATTTATGGTTGTAGTAGTAAGTTAATTATCTGGAGAGTCAACAAAAATGCTATAATTAACTTTGAATACTTTTATGCTGACACCACTATAAAGCAAAGAAATACTTCTCCTATATTTAATTCATAAAAACAAGGCATCCAGCAAAATGTCCACATCAGTGTGCCACTTCCTGTGAAAAGATACAAGTACAAAGAAAATTAATACCATACCATTAGCAGACATCTCCCACGGACTACCATCTTTGGGCTGCTCAACAAGCTCTCGGAAGTCGTGTTCTACGTACAGTCAAAAGAGAAGCTCCGACATAACCAGTGCCATCATGTATAACGTCGTAGGGTTGTAAGGCTTAGACACTCAAACTTTTTATCATTATCATAGGATCAACACCCCTCTCTGTGTCTAATTAACTTACACATATAGCAGAAGCAATGTATATTGTCAGTTCACATACCATAGGATAAGACACATCAGAATGATTTGTTTACACTTTGGAAAGTCTTGTACATTTTCAGATAAAACATTGATCATTAAACAACACAACTATTGTAATGCCTATTATGTACTTTTTTCTTTTTTTACACTTTCATGCTGCGCAGTCTGACACCTATATGTGAAATGGGTAAATTTACCAATGTCAATTTTTTTTTTTTCAATCTAAATTATGCAACATAAATGCACAGTCACAGATAAAAACCACGTGAGAAATATTCTGGGCAGTCTGATCTCACTGTAGAGCTACTGAACACTGACGTACAATGAAAATATAGTTTCTATAAGCTTTTCATTTACGAAACAACAGGACATTCTTTTGTCTAATGAAATTCCACCTTCACTAAAGATTAATACATAGTAACATCATTTAATAGAAGGATAAACAAATACCTCAAATTTTTAGTCTTCTTCTTCTATTGGCCAGAGGGCTTAGTGCTAAAATTTGGGTTCAATCCCAGTATGGATGCTTCTAAGATACAGCTTTATCTCTTAATAGATTCTTAACTTACTCATTTGAAGCTGAACTTGAAAGGTCATGGGTACATCTAACAAATAAGTCCATTTTGAAGCTTTGTGTTTTAACAAAACGTTCATTTCTAATATGCCGTAGTGTGTCTTTTCGGCATATAATGCCCATATCTCTCTCTAAAAAAACATGTTAATGTCCCAGTGAACTGCAACAGCATTGTAAAATATAGTTATATCTTTATTAACAGAATCTGTTGAAACAAGTACTTTCTAACTTATCGACATTAAAATAGCTATCCTTAAAAGTATTTTATAATACTTATCACATCAAATGGCATCTGAAGCCAAAAAAACAACAACAACCAATCCACACAATCTGGTGCGTGAAATTCATACTAGAACCTTCTAGACTTAACCACAATCTGGTGCGTGAAATTCATACTAGAACCTTATAGACATAACCACAATCTGGTGCGTAAAATTCATATTAGAACCTTCTAGACTTAACCACAATCTGGTGCATGAAATTCATACTAGAACCTTCTAGACTTAACCTAGGAATGCATTACAAATATTCGTATGATTTTAAGCTGCTACTATAAAATTAAAAATCACAAAGTTACCAGCCACCTGGAGGTCATACGTAGCAATGTGTATAAAAAGCCATAATAAGTTTATTTTTAAAAAGAAGCTTGAAAACTTTAATGTACATCACAGTACAATTTATTACAGATCAGTTTAGTTGATATGCATATTTTGTAGGTTTCAGATTGAAACTCGGCCATTTTATGTTTGATCACATCAACATTGAAACCCGAAGCAGTTGTATGGCATAAGAAGTTGATGTCGTGCCTGCTAATCAATATTTATCAAGCTAATGTTTTTCAGTTGTTGTGAGGGCAGATACTTGTTCTGCACAGAAACGAAATTCTCTTTGTGTTCATTACGAGACAGACCCCAAAAATGCACCTGCTCCAAGTTATAATTTTATGACACAACTTCTCAAAAAGACAATGTTACTGTCATATAGTTTTAAAGTTTTTAGTTGTTGCAAAATATCTATATATTGCAAAAAAAACAACAAAAAGAAATTAGAGTTGACTGCGAACATTTTGATGTTATGGTAGCCATTAACAGGACATCTTAATTATCCAGGTGTTATACAAAATTACAGGTAAAGCCTAAATACATGAGCATTGTATTTTGACATAATGTGTAAATAAGCCTTTGGTTCAGGAACTGTCGAATTCTACAGCGGAAAGACCCAAGTATCGTCAAATATTTTGCCATTTGTATCCATCCCTCCGTGTATTAAAATACACTGCTTCTTCTTCTTCTCATCCTTTCCTAATTAATTAAAAGAAAAAAAAAGATTTTTGTTTTAAAAATTCACTACCTTGTTTAAAATTATACAGTACTTATTGTAGGAAAACTTTCATTCATTTATCGGACTGGAATGAAATCTGTAAAAAACCTTTAGATATGGTTTGTTTTGTTAATTAATATGTAAATATTTATCACTTACACTTTTAGAAAACAAATCTACCAGGTGGCACCACTTATGTAGGAAATATGTATTTCTTTATCATCACTTTGGTATAGCTGTCATCTCATTTACTTGCCATTATACCAACAATGAAATAAGAATTGTTCGAACTACTATTAAAAATGATTAGAAACTTACTAAATGTGAATGGTATAACAATAATCTTGATCACCGTGTGTTAATAAACATACTAGATGTTTAAGTGACTGTTAAACACAAAAAGTTCAGAATCATCAAATGTATATATTGACACGGATTCTAAAATATCCAAACATGTAAGCACACATATATTTAAAACCTGGAACTGTATGATAAAGTTGTATACAAGAACCTGCATAGTAATGTAGTATTCTTCACACACATTAAAGATTGATTATATGTGAATACAGGTTTCACATTTTTTATTATCTGTTAGATATGTTACAGAGTAAAAGTCTAGAGCCCCGTCATATTTTACCAAGTAGCATAACATAAACTTTATTATACTGATTACTGAGGACACAGCAGCTAGACCCACCCTGTCTTTTCCTTTTAATCATCTTCACAAATCTGGAGTGTGTAAAATAAAGAAGGTTACTTAGATACAGTGGTCAGATTCCTTTGTCTCTGAGCAGCCTATATATCGGCGCATTCGTTTTCCTACTTGGACGAGCTGCTGATATATCGGCTTGTAGGTCATGTTCCGTTTCACGATCGATCCGACATTTTGTATGCTTTATATATTTAAAATAAAATTAAAAGTACTTCTGTTAATGAAATATCTTCAATCTGAGCCCCCCACTGTGACAGAAGAAAGATGTGATTTCCGTGAGTGTTCTGAACCCCTATTTTGAAACAAAGAAAATGACCATGCCCATTACTTCTGGTAGGCCTCGTTGCTTTACTTCTGAGCCAGGAAAATGACTATTCCCAGTGATCTTGAAAATGAGAAATTCTGACTTGGATAGAGAGGAGAGTCCTGTGGCAGGCCCTTCAGGTGTGAGTACAGGTAAAGGCAAGAGAAAGACTTGTAGTGAGGAAAAGAAAAGCAGAGTCTGGATCTTGACTTAACAAGAGGAAGAGGACTGTTGTAGGAGATTGTAAAGATGAAGTAACATGAAGAGTAGTTGAAGAAGAGACTGACACAAAGAAACATGAAGCTGGATTTGGATATAGAAATTGTGGCCACTTTTGATCCAGAGATAGAGCTAATCTGGAGTGTGTAAAATTGAGAAGGTTATGTAGATACAGTGGTCAAGTTCCTTTACGAATAAATGAGAAATGTCAGCATCTTGTACTCACTAAATAAATGTACAGAGAGGTATCATTTCTAAAACCAAGACTGTCTTTGTGAAATCATTGCTTTATAACCGAGTAAAGAACAAAAGTCTTCATGCAACTTTAAAAACCAAGTGAATGTCAAATGTTTCTTCAAATGATATTTGTCATGTGTTGTTTTAGTGGAAGTTGGATTGAATATTCTAAGTATGTACTGATTTAAAGGGGCATCATAATAAAAGAGAATGGACTACTCTATTATTTGTGATATTTTGGAGAAATATTAACAACTAGATATGGAAACTGACCTGATGGCAATTCCACGAGACAAATTCCAAAATCTAGACGGCCACGAGGAACTTGATCTCCACAGTTAATCTTGAACCATGTTTCCAAACCTGCAGGAAAAAAAAGAAATACTGAGCTGCATCATAAGTTTAAGACTCTGGAAACACAAGATAAATGCTACAGAATGTCTGTACGTTACTGGAACTTCCCTTCAACTGCTATGAACATGGTTTTTTATACATGAAGACATGACAAGCAAGATAAGTTTCCAACAAAGGAAAAATTTCTTGATTTATAAAAAAAGACAATATGCAAATTTTCTGACATGATAAATATGTATTATGCATCGAGACATGATAACCAAAACTCCCTACTGCACATTTGCACATTAAGCTACATTTCTGGTGGTCTTTTGGAAAGATGGTGATTTGAGAAAGTAAAAAAAAATTCTCTTTTTTTTTATAAAATATATTTTCATGGAAGACTACAAGTGATTTTTTATTGTCAGTGATCCAACATTCTGAACTCTAAATAAATGACACTGTTAAGATATTTTTTAACGTCCATCATTAAAGAAAGAAAAATACTGTTGGGCACCTGTAATGATATCTCTCATTTACTCCAAAACAATTCTCTCTATGGTAATGAGAAACATTCCTGAAAATCACAAAAACCTTCCTAACTTCCCACAATATGACACTTCCAGGATCCATTAATAACCAGGTTCCCAAAATATAACATCTGTTTACAACTAAAGCAATGGAAGCCATTTTAAAATCTAGAGAGACAAGTTTAATTTGGTTTTATTACTAAACAGAAAATAAGGTACTCGTATCATATCTGTACAAATCCTCTACTACTCCTCCTCCACTGGTAAGTCCACCAAATATATAGAAGTCTTTCTCTACTACAACTGCGCCGTGAGCAGCTCGTCCTGTGGGAACGCATCCTTTTGGATCAAGTCTTTTCCACCTGCACGTAGAAAAGTCAAGAACGTGGAGGTCGTCATAAAAACTGCTCCCTACCATACCCCCATGCAGGTAGAGTTGGTCTGCCACAGCAACCAGTATGTGACCCAGTCTAGGAGGGGGACAGGTGCCACTGACGCTAAGTTTGTTCCACGAGTAAGATGGAAGATCAAATACATATACATCTCTGTAAGAGAGGTTTAAGAAAAGACGTACAACAATCACATTTTCACTAAAAACTCTTCTTAGCTTATGATACATCTATATATATATATATAAAATAAGTTAACAATCTAAAGGTAATTGATATTAAAGATTAAAAACCTGTATTTTTCAGAGTTCAACACTAGGTAAGAAAAATAAAACATACATATATATCTTACTGACTAATTAAAACCCCTTTTTATTTCCTCAACTGTTTAGTATATATATATATGTGTGTGTGTGTAGAAGTTGCAAGTTAATAATGTTATTCTCAAAGGTTTGAATTATTATTATTAAGCCTACAACTATACGTTCTAGTTCATAGAATCAGGCTTAGTTAATACAACAACATTTCACTTACTCGTCCACCACAGGCTGAGAACCAAGATTACCTCCAGAGAAAATGAACAGAGTTTTATCTGTGGCTGCTACACAGTGGTGGGTGCGTGGAGATGGCACATATCCTTTTACCTGCAAGAGTTGAAAACAGTGATTACAATGTAGAACCATTTGAAGCATAAATTAATTGGTACAACTAACTTAAAAAATTCCTTTAGTAAAATTGTGGCAATTGGATATCAATCACTACATGATCAGTCGATTTATTAATTACTAGATACCGGTCCCTAACTATATATAGGCGATGAGTGGTATTTTCTAACTGATTAATGGATGGCCCCATTAACGAAGTACATTTGATTAATCTATTAGTACAGTGTTACTCAAACTATGGTACATACAAGCCAAAAAAAATGGTGGTGGGTGCTACCAGCCAATTGTCTTCCCTCTAGTCGGCAGTTCAAAATTAATGACGGTGGCAGACTGCTTTATTAGCCTTGCTATAACAAGGACAGGGCGAGCAAGCTTGGGACAACTGGAATCAAACCCGAGACCCTCAAATCACACACCCCTGAATCACCAACATTAAACAAACTTAAAGTAAAAACTATTTTTAAAGTTAAGTAGAGCACGGATAGCCCATTATCTAGCTTTGTGTTTAACAACAAACAAATATCATACCAATATTTCAATTGTTGGAATAATAGGACTGAAAACCCTAGAATTGATTAGTTGATTATTTTTGTGAAAATCAATTTAATTTTAATTAACGGAATGATCCAAAATACTAATATTGATTAGTTTATGTGATACTAATCAATGTAATTACTACTCATAAATAAGTCATTATATCAATTCAGTGATTATGTTGTCCAACTCTTGTTTTATCCTGTATACTTTGGCTGCTAATCTGATGCCATCTTGATGGCTGTGATTCGATCTAGGGTGTCCTTGACAGAGGGGGCTGGTGTGCTATCCACTAGTCTGGTATCTTCCCTCATTGGGATTTTGATCAACTTATATCAATGGTTTCAAGAGGGTATCCAGGTTTCGCTGACTTCTGTGATAGGTTGGCCAGCGTGTTATTTGTAACGTGGATGAAGAAGGCTTCTTTTATCTTGTTTCTTCTTCTGTATTTTTAGTATCAATTAACTTACTATTATTCCAATTTATTGTGTGGTCTTCTTCTTCTTCTCTGGCAGGTAGATTGGTAGTACAGTCTTGTCTATTGTTCTCCTGAATTCTAACATTTGTTGGTTTTTGTTTCTCCATTGTCTTGGAGTCCAAGTTCACAAGGGCTGTTGTAAATGAGGTTTTTTGCTTCTCGTTAGATCTTTAGGTGATTTGGTGCTCGAGTGTGGAATTTAAAAAAAGTTCTTGCCCGAGAGACAGACTGGTTAAAAACCCCTTTTAAAAATTCTACTTGCCCCACAAAACAAAAAAAGAAGAATATAACTTAGGAATTTAATTAAACAGAAAACAATAAAAATCAATTACCTATAAGCAGCAATTATATTGATTAATGAGACATAAACAATTAATCAAAAATAGTGTTTCTAATTAGTTTTTCACTATGCTAACTTCTGATTTTATATATATATATATATACATGATGCAAAATGTTGTTTGTACAGTTTTGGCCATTTTGGAAAAAAGCAGCTTTCACAAAACAAAAAATGCCATGAAATCAAAAGTGGTCTATTTATTCAATAAAATATCTGAAACCCCTAAAAAATCTCACTTTTTTTAGTTATTTCAAATTTTACAAAATCTTTTATTTTTGGTCACAATCCTACATCTCATTGACTTCACTGGGAATGGTGTATACCAAGTTTTGCTTCTAAGTCTTAATTTAGTCATTAAGACTTATTCAATATGATCAAATGTTTGTTACAAGCATTCTCAAGTACTGACCATTTAAAATACATTTTGTAGCCATTTTTCAATACTATACTACAAAGTTATTTTTTGAAATAAACAAAGATAATAAGTAGAGCTGGATGATCGATCAATTAAAAAGTTCATTAATCTATTACATTCAACTAAGTGATTATTCTCACACAAAACTTGGATTGTTTGAAATAATTAAAGCAGCAGTTGGAAACAGTAATTTTGTAAAGAAAAATCCCAATAAAGATTTCCTTTTTTTGTCAAATGATATATTTAGTAAACATACATTTTTGTACTAACCTGAATGGTTTCCCAAATTTTTGTTTTTAAGTCCAAAACTTGAATACTGTTCTTGTTGCCTTTAGTATCTGCTCCACCAAATACCAAAATACCAGGTTTGGGGTGAACAGTTTTAACTATTGCGTGTTCGTAGCGTCCATGAAATCCTACAGTTTCAACAACTGTCCAAGTTAAACCATCCAAATCAAGACAATAAACGTCACTAAAGGTACACTCAGGATTGGCTCCACCAACTATAAACATAGATTCAGAGGATGACATGAAAACACAACCATGTCCAACCCTACCTGATGGAGTATTTCCCCGTGTAGTCAACTGTTTCCACACACACTGATCATTTCCAATGTCAAACATTATTTTTTTAACGACTAGAATGATTACACTCACTCGAGTATCAGTGATAAAAAGGAATGATCGTATCTCTTAGAACAAAAAAAAAAAAAAGGACAAAACATCTTTAATATGTATTCATAAAATAACACAAAACTGACTTTCGACTGATTTTTCATCTGATTTTGTCAATATATTTCCTTTCTTATAGACTACCACAGCCGAGTTTCCATGGCAACTATATGCATAACACTTTCTACTCTCTCCAATGCTGAGATAGCTAAGTGGGCGTGGCTTATTTTGTCTTTCTCTGAACAAAACTAAAGCAGTATCTTCATAACGCTGTTTGATTTCATATAAACTTTCAGCAAGAACCATAGATCTGGGCTTACTCATTTACAATGTAGATATTACAGGTAGGCTACATAAATAAACAGAAACATTCAGTTAGTTAGTGATTAATTAATATCCATTAAAGAATAATTAAATAAAAATCAAATATACAAATCTTACATTAATAGTTCAAAACATAGTAATGTACTATACAAATTTTGCATTAACCAGGGTTAGTTAATATAAAAATGTGCCTCAGCATAAATATTTTACAGTATTACACTTATAGCTTGGGACAAGTTACCTACATGTTTTCACTAGAATTTTTTACAACAATTAAACTTATTTGAAGCCTAAATTTTAAAGTCTGTACAACTACAAGTCATAAATTAAAGATTAATTTACCTGAATTTCTATATACTATAATAAGTAACTTTGTACATGTTACAATCTAAAGTGTAGGTTTTACTGAACTTAAGAAATTAATCAAATCAAGAGTACTAATGTTCCTAAAATCATTTCTAACAGAACTTAATCTATATCTACGGTGATATCACACACCTTACAGGAAGCCTACGCCCAACAGGCAACAATTTACATAGTTCATGTGTCACACAGCAATCTCCCGCAACTACTGCCACACCGTACAACTGCTGACTTTTAAAAATAAAACTAAGACAATGGATTCTCACTTAGTTTACTACTACTAGTACTATAACAACTACCCTAAGAGTAATTCTAATAGGGTAAGCAAAAAAATGTTACTAAATATTTTAAAATTATAGATAAGACGCTTACCTCTCACAGAATATAATATACATTAAAACTGTATATATTTAATCATTAAGAATTTTACGAGCTATAACAAAAACGATAATTTGTTTTCACACAATGAGTTCGTACTTTGCTAATCAAATTTGTTCAAGTATCGCCATCTAGTGACTAAAGCTCTATATAATATTAATATTCTATTATATTTTATTCAATTGAAACAAACGAGCACAAAAGAAATAAAACTAGAAAAATTTCATAAAAAATACTTGTTTACCTTGAACTCCTAAAATAATACGCAAAAGTTCATATTTATAAATATTTTGTGAGTTTTTACAAGCTTTTTAAAAGTCCCTTTATAAGCCGATTTCTATCACTAAACAATATAAAAGAATATATCAACTTGAGTTTTTTAGCAGTTTCCGAAAGAAATAAACTTGAAAAACAATTTCAGTCAAATCAACATTCTTAACCTGATAATTTCATGTGATGAAAACTAAAAATACATAAACATGTTGTTGCTTTCTAGATAATTGACTATCAAGAGTAACATTTTAATACACAAATATTTCTCATCGTTGAGGGTGAATTGTTTGACTTTTCCAATTGAAAAGGATCCGGAGCAAAGTTCAAAATTCATCTATGAATCTCCGATATCTCGTGTGATCACTCCGTTCAACTCGCAATCTGCAGGTAGTGGACTCCGAATCTCATCACCGAACATCTTCTCCCTTTCAGCCGTGGGAGCAATACAATATTATGGTCAATCACACTTTTCTTTGGATAGAGTAGCTCAAGAATTGGCGATGGATGATGTTAATTAGCTGCCTTCCCTCTAGTTTATCACTTCTAAATTAGGACTGGCTAACACAGATAGCCCCCAAGTAGCTTTAAGTTAAATCAAAAACAAGCAAGCAAATCGATTTGACATAGGGTAATTCGAGGTTGCTGATATTATACTTACATTTTCAGTTCTCGAGGGCAGCAGGAATGGAGAAATAAGACATAGAAATAGAAATACACTAAGAAATTGTGCATTTATCTGGTTATTCTCGTATATAAATGTGGAGCTTTTTGAATTTTTCTTTTTCCTAGTTTTTTATATTATTAAAGTGGTGAAACCAGATCTTTAAAAAAATTATTTAAGAAGGAAAATTTTATTATTTTTGGTAAATAACATTGGTACTATAATAAGTTTACAGAGGTGTCAAACCTGGTTCCTTCATTTTTACTGTAAGTAGTCTTAATAGACAAAACGTTACTGAAAAGTAATATATATCATACATATATCATAGTTGTACGTTGCTTGATAAAACTTATTTACTACACATCTTTTCTGAGCAACAGCCAACGTGTGAATGTCAATATAAATATAAAAACATTTCATGAAAGCAAGAAAAACTTTATTTAAGTATTTAACAAAGCAGAGGATGGTTTATTCCTAAGCTGACTGATAAAACCATTTCCACCAGTGATTATGTCGTCATAGATAACTTCTGTATACGTTTGGTATTTTCAACCTGAATAAACAACCAAGATGAAGACCACCAAGGTTCAAAAGAATTGACGACAATGTAGTATTTATTCGATTCATATAACATAAGTTATCCTTACCAATAATCTTCAATGTTATGACACTGGGATATTTTGGGTTGCACAATATTGGAATAAGTTTAAATACTGACAAATTTCATCATCTCTAACAATTGTATCATTAACGATTAATTAATAAAGTTGAAGAAGTATTCCAAATTTAATTTCAAAGATTTGTTTCAAAATTATTTATCGGTTCGTAATTTTTGACGCTTACAAAGAAATTACCATTATACTCTACATGATAATCTTCCCTCTCCACTAAAAAAACAAGCAAGAATTGTGTTAGGATATTTCACTGTTATTATGTTTGTTTTTTGTTTATTTATTGCTGAGCGCAAAGCTACACAAAGGGTTATCTGTGTTGTGCCCCCGGAGAGTATCGAAAGCCTGGTTTTAGTTTTATAAGTCTTCAGATTTACTGCTGAGCCACTGCCAGGCTTACTTTTGTTATGAAAACAGCAATTCTAAAATAATTAAAACTACATAGAAATAGTTTGATAAGATTGAGCCGGAAATAACGTATCAAGGTGGGTGTGTATATTATTATACATTAACTGAATGTCCGTCATATGACAGTAAATGCTGACTAATTTTCCTTCTGAAAAATTAAAAGTAATGTTTTATGAACATGTGTTATACAAGTTAATTATGTTACTGCAACAATGTATTTATAAATAATGTTTATCATTTTTCTAGTACTTCAAAAAAACAACATTTTTATGTATATTTGGTCATCTCCTGTAAGTGCCCTTGATTATAATTTTGATGTATGTATATTTTTATGTTCTGTTCAAACCATCTTCTTGACAAACCCTGCGAAAAAACTGGTTCTGCAAAAAATATTCCTACATAGTCAAATGTCTGAACCTGCGATATATTAATTGTGATGACAAAGGCAATGAATTTCACGGCGAAGGGGCAAATGCACGAAGGTATAATTTTTCTTTTAAAATGCTTATAATATTTTTACTACATTTGAAAAATCTTTACCTGAGTGAAAAAATATCAATAATAATAATGTATTGTGGCGCTATCTATTGGGTGGAAAAGATATCTAACTTCATTTTGACACGTACAGTCACTGGGCTTATGATATTATGATATTATTCGTTACTTAATCTATGATTGTAATTGTATTTTTTCGAATATGCAAATAACTTGTTGTAAGTATAACAATACATACGAATAAGAATAAATATAATAATTAAGAAAATGAACATAAAATATCAAATCGATTGGAATTTGAAGACGAGATTTTCACATCATAGCCGAGCATTATAACCCAGTCTTTGTAATCGAATGTTAACAGATCATTCGAATACCTAATGTAAACTATTGTGATTATTTTCCTAATATTGTAATATATTTCGCTAAACATGATTGGTTAATAATTAATAAAGTTATAAAAAAATCCCCACTCGGCTGGTATTTGAACTCAAGATTTCCGCTTCAGACAAGCCACTGAGCCAATTTTGACGTTACCAACAGAGAATCGAGTGTTACCTACAAAGGGAGCGTTCCAAACAGAGTAGCATTTATTATATAGATGATGTAACTTAAATGTAACTTGTTAAACCTAATGCTGTTAAAGACGTATTTATCTGTGTATTTATATGACCCTGATACTTTCTTGCATTAATATGTCACAAAAGGAGGACAGAACTGTAACCTTACGTGTTTTCCCGTTACATGCGTTATTTAGGTATGGGTTTAATTGGATAATCTCAACTATCATATTATTGTATCAGAATAACGCTTTCCTACTTGCTTGCTCGAAAACACTTTAAAGTTACCATTCTGTTTCATGAGAACACTGCTTGTAACAATATAATTGCTACAATTTAGAGATATCCTGGATTTGACTATTATTACTATAATGGGCTTTTTTCTCGGGTACAGCGAGATGTTTCACGATGAATAAAATATTTTATACATAATTCGTCAGATAAAGGCATGCAACAAGTGTTATTACAAATCTACCACACCAAGAAATACCATATAGGATCTAGTGAAGATGATCAAGTTCGCCTGATAGATACACTACAATGACGTCTAGAGGATCATATGGAATCTTCTGAAATTCATGCGCTTTATCTCACGTGAAAAACGAATACCCAACTCATGTGCAGGGTCGGATTAAAGAGTTGGGAGGCCCTCAGAACTGAATTTCGTAGATAAGTCAAATACAATTCAAAAGTAAGTAAAACTAGTAGTGTTTATAATAGATGTGTAGAAATGTAAAATCGAAACCCTCCAAAAGTGATGCCGTTTCTCTCAGAGTATGCTCGTTACCAAATAGATTATGGTTGAATACAGACCGTGATAATGGCCTTGCTGTAAATATAGGTGTGGTTGTTAACTTGAAAACAGTAAGATACACATCAACGAATTGGTTTTAATAGACTGCAGTTGCTCGAAAACCGTAGTTGAGAAGATGTAACCAAACCAAAAAACTTGAAATAGGCATGATATAAAAAACAATGGCATAAACAAAGTTTAAGACGCATTCTTCACAAAGGAACCCAAGTTTGAATTGCTCAGCAATAATCAACAACATTCTGTTCGATAGTGAAGAAGAGGAAGGTATCATAGTATATCTATGACACTTACAATGAAACATAGTGATGGATTATTACAAGTTTGGGGCTATCGGTCAATGCTATTAGTGATCTACACAAAATTGGTGGCACCCTGATTCCTGAAAAGTACAAGTAATTTCTCATTCATCGTGCAATTTCCACAGAAACAAGACAATGATTTCAAACCTACAGCAGATATGAAGAAACAATACCTTGATGGTAAAGAAACCTATTGAACACTCATAACTTTGGTTTGACATCAATGACAGCTTGTTTGAGGCCCAGAGGCAGTAGAGGCCCGATCTATGAAAGCATTTTAAAAGAAATAAGCGAACAACGTTCAGAAGTTTTTAAAATTTATTATCTTAAATATTGAACATCGTAATTTAAAATTATTGGATTAGGGAGATTAAAAAATAAAATAAAATTCCTTACTAACAGACTCCGACTCTCATTCCTAATAGTACTAGCGAAGTGGAGGCCACCTCCACCCGGGCATCGTGTTTTTCTTTATTTGTATTTTGAATTTCTCACAAAGATACAGGAGGGCTATCTGTGCTAACTCTTCCTAACTTTGAACTGATAAATTAGAGAACAGGTAATTATTCAACAGCTCCTGACATCAACTCTTGGGCTAATTTAGTCTTATTGAACAAGCGAGAAGTGGTTTATGAATCAGCAGGATGTGAACCACGAATCTTCGTATTCCTAGACCGAGCACGCTAACTACTAGGTTATGTCCGGCCCTTTTCTGTTATTGACTAAGCTTATTGGTTTGATAAGTATTTATACACTGTAGAAAATCCCTTCATTTAGGCTTAGCAACTTGTAATGGTTTACGCATCCCCGGAGGTTTTTAAATAAAATAAAAATCTGGTGTTACAAGACTTTTCACAGATTTTTTTTTTTAGATTTTCTTTCCGATAAACTGCTAATTCATACAGACTCTTGGAGTCTCTTTTGCCGTGTTTGGA